GGGGGGGGGGGTGGGGGTTTTGGGGGGGGGGGGGGGGGGAAGCAGGGCTGGGCAGGCCTTCCTGCTATGACTGCTGGGTCTTGCCACTGGCTCTCCCTGGGTCCTGCTTCTGCTGGTACCTTGTCATCTTTGACAGGCAGCCAGAGGCAGATAATAATTAATTTTCTATATTTTTTAGAGGCCTTGCATGGTGGATAGAATGGCCTGGTGGGCCAGATCTGGCCCACAGGCCATATTTTGCCCACCTCTTCTCTATAAAGACACTTTCTTTCTATTCTCTCTTTAATTGTTAAGTAAATTAACTGTACTGGAATAGTTTGAGTGTAAAATAACTCTAAACAATTTCATGTATTATATACAAAATACAGCATATAGAGATCATACAAGAAAATCATAGAAATGCTAGTCTCATTTAACTTTTAAAATGAATGTCCCAACGTATGCTTTCAATAAGGATACATATTACATAGGTTGAATTTCACTAATAGCAACATTACATGCAGCTTGCTTAATACCTTTCTCAAAGTTTCTAGCTTCTTATATAACTGAGGAAGAATGCCAATAACTGCTTCACAGCAAAGTGCTTCCTTCACTATTAAATTCCTATTTTGCAGAATCTTACCCTCCTCTTTGCATTTCTCCCTCCACAGAAGGTTATCCTCAGCCAGGATTCTCCAGTAGCGGCATGTCTGCGCTGCTTGCAGAAGGTCCTTGGGTTCCAGGAATGAAAGCACATATAGTGCCAGCTGCAAAAGGCAAGAGATTAAACCTATTCACATTCTCTTTTTTAATTTTATATTCACATTACCGAGACTGAGATACACACAAAGTAGATGTATTAAAACAATAAATTAAACTATCAAACAAGGCCAGAAGCATTTGAGAGCTGCAATACATTCAAGAGGAAACATGAAAGGGACTGCAGAAGTTAGCAAAAAATTATTTTAATACCCTGATCTAAGCAAGAATGTCACTTGGTAATACATTTGCTTTAACAGAAAATAGCTGCCAGGTGAGACAATTGTTATAGAACTATATAGAAAAGCCTTGTGAATGTTAAATGGTTAATAGGTAAATTATACTGCCTTATTTGCAGTATAATTAATATCCACATTAACACTATTTTTTTGCTAGGACTTTGAAAAATCTGTGACCTAACAAACTGGAAAAAAATTAATTCTAATTAAAAATTCACATCAAGGCAGGTACCCAAACCACAAGGGTAAACAGTGACAGAAACAGGCTGTAGCAATAGAAACAACCAACAAATAGCTAAACAGATACTGGTGTCGACCACATTTCTACAGTAAATATAAAAATAAGGCGACTGTCCCATGATAAAACAAAAAACTTAAGTTTGTTTCATATAGTGAGCTCAGATAAACACCAATGGTGGAGAGTAACATTGTTATTCCAAATACCAATCCACAGTGCTTGAATAGTGAATTATGCTTGAGACTGAGAACAATCTGGAAATGCACTACATCAAACAGGTCTACAACTTGTTTACTGAACAGAATGCATAATATCCTTAAAGAATTTTAGGAGGTGTTTTATGGACTGGGATAAAGAATGGATGTTATACATCGTATTCATATAGATCTCAGCATGCAACAACAATGCATGTGCCATATTAAATCCCTTTAGCCTTGACAGATAACGTAAAGTTGAGCTTATCTAGATGATAAAATTAGAGGTTATTTAGATGATTCGGACACCAGTTGGCTGAGTTAAACCATATGGTGACCATAATAAAAACAAACAACTATGTATTTTCTCCATCAGTTACGCATTTTGAAGTTATACACTCCTGAAGGTTAATGCTAAGGAGGAACAGAACACATGTATTGTGGAGAACATTCAGGGCCCTGCTGACAGGAGTAAAATGCTATATACATCCAATCACTGAAAATGAAAAACCATCAGAAACAGTAGAAAGAAATCCCAAGAGGCAGATCTATCTCAATATCTTGCAGATCACTGTGGAAGGAACAGTTTTGAGAGGTGATTCATACAACTAGTTATGTTAAAAAAGTCACTGAGTTACAGCCAACAGTCATCTTAGGCATTCAACTGCAATAAAGTTAGGAACAAAAATATATCAGTCTTTTTCTTTGGATCAGAGAATGATAAGGTCAGAGAAGATCATATTTTTAAAATGCAACTTCCCTGTCTACATTAAGTGAAATGATTTATTTAAAAGGGGATTTGTAAAAAGATGCCAGCTATGAGGCTTTAAGATTTAACCTATTTTCCTAATCTACATGCCCCCAACCAGAACTGAACCTGGGGGGAAAATCACATTACAGTTGATTAGGTAGTATACCTTCCTCTCAATACTGTGGTGTAGTCCTAAGAGCAATTTTGCCAGAACAAAAATAGGGCCTCTGTTACCAGAACTCTGTATTTTATGGTAAGGACTAGTGCTTTAATGGATCCTATCTAAGAACATTTATGCATTGCACACCTATCATTTTTAATTCAACTGGGCCATATCTGAGAGGAAAACCTTTAAACTTAAGATTTGGTTTTGATCCAGTCAAATCAAACAATTCTAATATTTTAATAGGAAAAGCAACATATATCTCAGTCTCAAATAACTAGGCTGCCTTTCACTTAAAAGGGATACTGTCATATAAGGGAAAACCTGCAAGAATGTAAATGGTTATTTGGTTATTCCTTTACTGTATCTCTTTGCATTGTTGAAGACCTTTGAATAAGATCTTTTCTATGCAAATTATCTTTACTTGCTGGTTAGCCAGAAAACCAGGAATATAATCACCGTGTTATGTACTTCGATATAGCAGGTAACTATAAATATTGCTGAAATGAAACAAACTCAGCAATGTTCAAATTTCAGTAAGGAAAAGGAATAGGCTTCCTGGAAAGAAATAAACACAAGTTATTTAAATATTCAGAAAAATGAAAGAGAATTATGGGTAAGTAGAATACTTTTTATATATAAAGAGTATCCCCCTAGTACATAAGTCTCTCTTTAAGAGGGCAGCACAAGCAATACATAAGATAAGTACTAATCACAGTTGGATTCGTTTTGCTGCTAAATCACGTGAGAACAGCTGAGCTATAACCTTTTGTTAATATGCATTACATGTATCCAACTTTTCACTTTTTGAAACAGCAGAAGTTAAAATATTCCCCATCCTTTCAAGGTGTACAACTCTCCTTCCTAACTGATCCTTAGAGCAGTTTATCTGGCATGGCGCATTTCTTCTCCTGCAGTATTCCTCACATACAAGGAGGAATTCCAAAGGAGCAGGTTGCCATAGAAAACACTTCTGTCAATATTTGATGCATGTACCTTGACTATTAACTTAATATTCACAGCATACATTACTTCCACTGTCAAACAAAAGCAAACCAGCAAACCCCAGGAGAAAGCTCTGGCATATTCCAGAGTCATGAAAAACCCTATGCTAGCAAATGAGATGAATAGGGCCATGTACATCTAAATATTCAAAATACACAGCTTACTCTGAAGTACAACACGGAAGAGTCATAGAATAGTAAACATTAAGGACATATGAAAAATGATGGACCACATAACACCAGAATAAGAACTGAGAACTTGTTCCTAAAATCCAAATTTCTTATTAAAAAAAGCAGGCAACAATATTTTAGTAGTGAAAAACACTACTAAGTACCATACGGTAGTACTGTTGGCACCAAACTAGAACCATTCCCCTGCCCCTTCCCCCCATGTCTCCCTCCAAAAAAAAAAAAAATCACCAAAAAACAAATGAAAGCAAAACTGAAAAATAACCCCCAAACCCAAACCATACCAACCCTAGGAGCAGTCAAGGCACACTGTAAAGAATAGTCACAATTAAATCCATTATGGTAACTGTAAAATCAAGTCTGGAGTTTATGTAGCCATCTCATAACAGTTTAGTCCAGCTGTGATATGACTTTCACATTCTTTTCACTTCTCAAGGAAGGCTCCTGTATCTAGAGGTTGCTCCCCATTGACGTGACAGGCTCTGACACGACTGGCTGAGCTTAGGAGAGAGACTTAAGGATTCCCTGGAAGTTTTCAAGTTCTCTCAAATAAATAAATATTAACAACATGCCTACTCAATGTGGATTTAATAACACAATGCATCGTAAAAATTTATTCTTAATATTTATCTAAAGAAAAAGTTTGGGCTTTTTGTTTTGTTGTGTTTTTGTCTTTAAAATGTGCTGGGATTTAGATAAATAAGTATGCAATGTTGACACAGAAGATTCACAAAATTAAATTTGGCAAGTTAACTAGAAGTAAAACACTGCATAACCTGAAGGCTCTTAAAGAAAATAGAACCAAATAGAAAAATGCAATGAAATATGTGGCAACAAAGACATTATTCCAATAGTGGAAAGGAAATCATCTACAGCCAGATTTTTAAAGGTATTTAAGGTGCTTAAAGATGCAAGTGAGTGCTTAGCAGGATTATTTTTTTAAATGAGAGTACCTATCTGGATCTTTAGGCACCTAAATTCTTTAAAAATCTGGCCCTTAGCTCATAAGCATACATTAATCTGAGAATTACATTATTAAGTCATGGCAGTTTGTCAACTTGCAGCCCTCTTTAACACCAATTAACAGTGTTAAACTGACAATACTGAATACCATAATTAGCATGCAAGTGTTTAAAGGTGGCAGATGATGCGTTACATAGTCAAACAGTACCCAAAGCCCAGTATTAACTGAGAATCCTCACCTCTTTTGGGAGCAAGGAAATGAAGTCTCGTTGAAACTGGGGCTCAATCACTTGCATCATATGTTTCACTTGTGTTGGTTCACAACTATCAATGAGTTCATCTAATGCAAGTAACTTTTCTGGTCCACTCCAGCTCTGTGAGAAAGAGAAATATGTTCCCTGTTTGTATTAGTTTGGTATATTGTCAAGTTTTATAAAGCTGCTTGGCTAACACCCCCCACAAAAAACAAAACCAAACCAAACCAAGCACAAGCATGTGTGAAGGCTATCTATAACATAGTGTATTTAATTGCATAAAATCTAATAGGTGTTTTCTAATAAGTTATAATTAAACAAAAGAATACTGATCCAAAGTATTCTGAATGGTACGCTCAAGTACCAATACAATAATGTAGCTATTTGAACTATTACACAGCTAATGCAAAATGAACAGTTAAAAACTGTACATTTAAAAATGTGCATTTTTTTTCAAAGTGCTCACTTCAGTGAGTGTTCAAATGAGATACCCCTTTTCAAACACTGAAGTTGAAATAGGTAAACCAAAAACTTCAAGTAAAGAGGAAAAAATAGTAGCAAGTTCTCTAAGATGTATTGCTTTGCTTATCGTCTGCTTATTACTGCTATGTGTTTATTTGCCACAATGTTATATTTCAGAATCCCGGCTGTAAACCAATACTTTATTTTGTAAACATCAATTTACATTACTGAGTAAACAGGGAATTTTGACTGGTAATTTTCTTACTTTGCATTCTTACTAATGGGCACCATAAAATCTGATGGTTTTAATAAGGCACTCATCTGAGAGTACAGCAGATTAGCAGCATCATTTGCAAAAAAATTAATAACTGAATATACTTCACATCTGACAAGCATGTCTTTCTCAAACTCATCTGTGCTCATCAAAGGATTTTGATTTGTTATGCAAAAACAATTTAAGGGAAAAAAACAATTTCCAGAGGAGAAAAAAAGTGTTAACTGATTTAGCAACAGAATTAGAGCATGAACAAAGTCTGAGAAGACAGAAAATGAGATATCACAGTGCTTTGTGAATATATTCATATTAATACATTTGAACATATGGGTTCTTCTACAATGACATGCACAAGTAAATCAACACGTACAAACTACATTAAAGTTACGTTAAGGGACTAAATGAAATCTAAAAAACCCAAGAATACCTTAGATGTTAATATTCATATATCACCTTGCCCTGTACCTCAAGACCTGGATTTATCACACTGTACACTGCATTCTTTAGATTTGAATACAACTGCTAGCTGCATGTGCTGTAGTGACTAGGCACAAATGAGAAATATTAAGGATGAATATATATTTATTTCTCTGTGTTGTAAACATATTATACTTTGAGGTTTTATTTATTTATTTTTTTTTACAACTCAAATATCAGGAAAATTAGTTTCTGACTTCACACATTTTAATAGTGGCTAGTGGCCATTGGCAAGGGTTGGAGGATGTCAGAAACCTGAGTGGTAGCACTCCCAGCTCTCAACTGATGAGACAGAGTTGGTTGGATGGAATATTTTTGAGATATGGTGGGACATTTAAAACAAAGACCAAAGGTATTACTGCACACTATGCACAGATGTTTGATAGAATGAAGTTTTTAATTAACTTTGAAATAACAGGAAAATTAAGGGAAACTATATTGCAGCTGTCTAATCCATTTATTAAACATGAATTTTCAAAGCCATTCTAGTATAAGCCTGCTTGTAATAGTTAATAAACAAAAAAATAGCCAAGGAACTTGAATACCTTACATTTATGCTGTGGTAAGTGTTTGCAGCAGTTGTTAATTTATATAAACTTGCCAATAGCTCCTAAATTCCGATGGCAGGATTTCATACTATAAGCAAGCCCTATTCTCTTACACTTAGTTAATAAAATTTAACATAGAACTAAGTGGAGGGGATTGAGAGAGAGACTCTAATGAATAAATGTAATATCTTCAAATGGAAAAACATATTTTAAGACGGTAAAATCTGTTCCTTCAGCATTATAGGTTGGCTAGAGGCAACAATCTTAAGGCCCTTTCAAGCAATCAGCTGCTCAAAGAAGTTTACTCTAGGGAGCACTCCCCTTTGGTCTTTCATTTTCTTTTTAAATAAATTAGTAACAGTCAATAAAGGATCTCTGAGGAAAATGTTTGTTTAGTGTATAAAATTTTGTTAGAGGAAGTAGTCTTGCCAGATAAGCACAAATATTTCTGATAATGGGGGGAATGACATTGCCTCCACTGTATTAGCATTTCTGTGCTCCACCGATTGACCTATTTGCAAAAAAATGACAGATATACCATTCAGCAGAGATGGAGAAGGAAGGCAGTAAGTGTGTGGCTTTTATTAAGAACAACAGTGGAAGGAAAGTAAATTGGTGCCAGGCAGTGGTGCAAAATTTCAAATATTTTAGTTGACCAGAGGATTCTGAGACACCTGGCATGCAGCCCAGATGCTCTGGATTGCTACCAGGTGGTCCCCTGTAAACTGTATAATTTTGAAAGCACTAAGCTGTATCCTTTCAATGCATTTGTAAAATTGACTATTACTCGTTTTATCTTAAAACTTAAATTCAATACAAAATTAGAGAGAGCTTCATTTCTACTGGTTTATTTTTGTTTATCTTATAGAAAATTAATTGTAGGATTCATCCCTGTTCAGGCTGCAAACTCAACAGGGACTCTTGCAAAAGCAGCTCCTAAAGCACTTTAAATGCCTTAGAAGTTTCTAGGAGGAAAGTTTCATTACTTTGGAGTTCATTTAATAAATCTGTCAATTTCCAACCCTGGCCACTTCCAACCTCAATTTCAGGCGCTGTCAGTCTCCAAGATCATCAGCACCTCTTTTCCTCCATCAAAAATGCAGTTGTGCCCCCCTCCCACCTTTGCTCTTCCTCGTTTGTTTTGTCGTACCCCGTATGTCTGTCTGTCAAGACGCATACAGCTCTAAACCACACGAAGCTCTGTCTGTGAATTAAAATACACATTGTAGATGGGGACAATGGGATCTTTCATCTACTCTGGGTCCAATAATTTGAGCATGATACTAATTTTTTAGTTTGATCTTACAGTTCTATGAATTACTACTGAAAACTTTTAAGGGAACATTGGGGTTAAGGTATGTCTTACAGAGAAACCTGAAGACAGAGAGAAGACCTTAGCTTCCTTTCCCTCTGGAAGAGCGTACCAGAATGGTGATTTTGTGGGGTGAAAACATGTCCTTCATCTCCCTCAAGTCTGTATTTTGTCTGGGTAAAAATACAGCATACAATATAAACATAGCCAAGCCTACTGAAGAAAACAGTATTTGATATAATGCAGACATGTCCCACCATGATAGCTTTGTACACAAATACTACAACCTTGAATTGAGGGAGCTCAAGATGGTACAGGTTGTAGCACACTAGCAGAATATAGCCTCCTGCTTATTTTGCTTAGGAAGTGGGCCACTGTGTTCTGTAGCAGTCACTGTTTCTTCATGAATATCCTCTGTAGATAAAGGTAGTGAGAACTGCAGCATACTAGACAAGAAATGACAAGTGCATGAATTTCTGTGGGCAGGAATCTGTCTGAAAGAGACAGCCAGTATTTTTGCTAACCAGGAGAGCCAGAAAGCCCTTACAGTAACTGCAGCAACCCAAAACAGAAACATTATCATAACTGCTGAGAGTAAATGCTCTCAACTATCAGCAATGCTGTTATGTTCACCTGTTCCTCAAAGTGATTACCTCTACTAATTTGCATTATTAGGAACGGAATCTTAGCATACCAGATTCCCACTTTCACTGTACTCATATGGAAAAGTTTCACAAACATTAGAGACAATTTATCACTACAAGAAGTATTTTACTTGCACAAAAATGTGCAAGAAAGAAAGGTAAAAGGAAAAAAAGAAAAGGAAGGTGGGATGTTGATTTTTAACATTTGAAGTGATGTTGCCCAAGTGTAGAATTGTGGGTTGGAAGGAACCTTAGGAGTCCTTTATTCTAAATGCCTGCATGGATGTTGGATTTACTATCCTAGATAGATGGCCTAGTACAGAGGTTTTCAACCTTTTTGGATCAGTGTACCTACAGCGGCCAGGCACAGAGTAGGGGGGAGACAGGGGTGGTGTATGGCTAAACATGGAGTGGAGCTTCCGCCTGCCCCGTGTGTCCAGCTGGGTGAGCGGCGCCTGCAAAGCAGCGCAGGATGGTGTGTGGCAGCGCTCCGTCCCTGCCTGCCTGCGTGTCTCCCCCATAGGCCTTCTCAAGTACTCCTGGGGGTATATGTACCCCTGGTTGACAACACTTGGCCTAGTACAACTGGGCAGGAACTTTTTGTTTTGCAAGAAATGTGGAAATCTTTAAGACTTCTGATCCCGAGTAAAATCAGATCAAGTTTCCTGCAAAAGGAATTTAAAAATTTCCGTTTTGACAAAAATTAAAAAAAAGAGAAGTTGGTTCAACATGATAAATTGAAGCATTCTATTCTAAAAAAAAAAACAAAAAAAAAAAAAACCTCTCACTGATCTGTTTTGACCTTATCAAAATGTTTTCCAGCTTTTATCTCTAAATGAATGTTATCACTGAAATCAACATGTTCATGCATTTTCTGAGGATGATGTGTTCCATTGGTCAATTTCCAACCAGCTCTGCCTACTGAATTGCCAAATGCTTTTCATCTTATTTGCTTCTTTCCTAAAATGATAAGCTTCTCAAGGCAAGGATAGTCTTTATTTGTCATATTAAAAGACCTGAGCCAATGTCAAATAGAGGATGCAACTTACATGTAAATAATATCAGGAGCAACTTATATGTAAATAATATTAATAAAAAACTCCTAAATGTGGAGTTAAGAGACTCTAATAACATTAACTCTGCTAACGTACCACTCATAAATACCAGCTTTAAGATGAGGAGGCAGTTCTATCCCAAACCAATGCATCTTGCTATCAGATCAGTTTGGAAACGCAATTTAAAATTGCTTGCAAAGACACTATGAATGCAGATGGGCATGTGATATGACAGATGAGATATGGCTGCTAAATTAATTTAGTAGCACTATTCTACCAAAAAGGAAGGAAACTCTTCAATTTGGTTGAGAAAATTCAAATTTCAAGAGTGACATTATGAAATGTCAT